ATATATATATATATAAATACTCTTCTAATAACTTTTACAACCAATCTTTCCTTACAACTAAAACTTGATTGAAACATACAATCAATAATATATCACTATAATCCATATGTTATTGTCTCAAAATGTTATTTGGTGTTCATCTATCTTCTATATCAATGCATTTCAAAGTGAGTGAAGAATCTCAATCAAAGTAAGAAAAACCAACAAAGAATTTCGAAGGTTAAAGAAATTAAATTAAATTTACATCCATTTTCTACTCGATTTCAAAAATATACTCGTATGTAGATTACTTTATAAATAAATAAATTTTAACAAATATTTTTTTATTGTCAATATCAAATCTATAGTAAGTTATTTATTTTGATCATAATATCTATTTTGTGGTCAAAATAAGTAATTTTTTAATAAATATGAATAAATAATAAATGAAAACATACGTAGAAATAATTATTTTTTACTTTTAAATTTTGAACAAAATATAGTGTCTCTAACTATTAAAATAAGTAATTTACTTTTAGATCTAATCAATACGAATTATATACAATAAAATTTACTTAGTAACTATAAGTAAATTCTAGCCAAACATAAAGATATCTAATTTGACAATAAAATATTCGCATTTTATGAATTTCATGAAACGAGTAATTAATAATTAGTGTCTTTTATACAATTTAAACAATTAAACATTGGACTTGGGTTGAAATTTAAACTATAGCTGGGCTAATGCTAATATTTGAACCAAAACTCTACACTTTCTTCTTAAATTTTTTATATGGGTTGGGGAGTGGTTGGCTAATGCTAACATTTGGACAAAAACTCTACGCTTTCTTCTTAATTTTTTATATGGGTTGGAGAGTAGCCCAACACTATCCCCCACTACGTCCATCAATGTTGGATACAACACAAATGGTAATTTTTCAATATAAAAAATTTTCAATTTTTGAAATATGCTATTTGTACATTAATGTTGATATTCTATGAGGTGTAGAAATTTGTGTCATTAATTGTTTTAAGTGTTGTTGGAATTAATGGCAAAAATGTGTCACTTTACACACTGTCTAAAGAACTGTCAAAGTGAAAAAAAAAATGGAAAAGACATGCTTTGAAATGAAAAAAGAAAAAGAAAAGAGAAAAGGTGTAGTAAAATAAGTTTATATGGTATTTTGTAGTTGTTTTTGCCATTTTTTTTAGAATTGATCTCCTATACCCAATGAACATCAGCGAAAAGTTTTTATTCTGTTCATTGAGAGTAGGAAATGAGGATTGGTCATTCTTTTTAATTACTTTTTATTTTTTCTTTCTCAACCATTCAATACAAATACAAAGTCGCTCTGTAATCTTTATGATAGAGTCGATTGTAATGGTGTGTCAAGTAAACAATACTAGCTCGAATCGGAATTTTTTTCGTACATACATTTTGACTCGATTTCACCGGGAAAATTTTAATAATAGATATTTCCATAATTTATGTTAACCGTCGGTGGACATAAAAAATTGATATCGATGTGTCAAAATCCTGGCATTATAACCCAATTCACTCGGTTGTCACACCAAACTCGTTTTCTTCATCTGAGTCAGCAAAACCCAACCCACCACTCGACTGCTCAAGTCTATAAATACCTATCATTGCAAATGCATAACGGCCCTTCCCCATTCGATCAATTCCTATAAAAATCCTCTCTAAACCATCAAATTCAAACCCATTTTACTGTTTCTCTTCTTCTCTCTCATTTCGCGCTCATGGATTCTTCTTGCATTCAGTCCACGTCTTGCCCTTTTGATTGCATCGTCTTCGGTAAGGAATTGCTCTAACTACTTATTTGCCTACGTAGAATTTTGAAATTCGGCTTTTTCATGTGCTGGTTTGAGTTTTAAATCGAATGAATTGATAATGATCCTCCTAAAATTTCATGTTAAAAGGTCAATCATCGGAATGCTTATCCATTGATGAGTGAGATTTTAGCCTAATGGAGGAAAACATAGTTAATAATTCGATTTCTTTCCCTTTTTTCTGAATGAACGCAGATTTGGACGACACCTTGTATTCTTCCAAAACTGGAATTGGTCAAGCGCTTAAACGAAACATTGATGGTAAAAATTTATATAGAAATTGAAATCCTAAATTTCAGTGGTTTTCCGATAATTTATTATAATCTTTTTCCCCTTTTTTGATGATTCACAGATTTTCTAGTCGAGAGATTTGGATTTCCAGGGTCGCAAGCTCCAACTCTTCGCGCAGAGCTCTTCAAAATCTACGGAAGCTCCCTTGTTGGTCTCAGGGTAATTAAAAATAAAAATAAAAAATTCTAGCAATTTCTCCAGTTTTTAAGATAATCTGAACTGAAAATGGTTAATTGATTAATTTTCTCTTAATTGCTTACCTTTGTGCAGTCATTAGGCTATGACGTTGATGCCGACGATTATCACAGGTCAGAAAAAACTCCTTTTCCATATAATCCAACAAAAATTCTTCCTGAGAATTCAAACTCAAATTTTTTACCTTTTCTTCTCAACAGTGTCGTGCACGGAAGATTGCCGTATGATTTGATCAAACCGGACGCTAAATTGCGGGACCTCCTGCAAACCATCAAACAAAGGAAAATTGTAAGGAACACCGATATTATCAAATTATACAACAGTTGCATTTTCCCCAACGTACATAATAGAAATAATTTACATAACTTAAGCAAATCCAAAAATTTTGCAGATTTTTACTAATTCTGATAAAATACACGCGATGAAAACATTGGACCGTCTTGGAATCAAAGACTGTTTTGAGCAAATTATTTGTTTCGAGACAATGAATCCGAATCTGTCGAAATCAACAACTCCGGTGGTGTTGAAGCCTTCAATGGAGGCCATGAAGACTGCAATTGATGTTGCAGGAGTTGATCCTCGGCGCACGGTATGGTCTCGTTGCATATGATCATTGCCTTGCCCTTAATCATGAGGAGGATAATTGATCACGGCTTTGATTTATTTTTTATTTTTTATTTTTTATTTTCCAGTTGTTTTTGGACGACAATTTGAAAAATGTTGCTGCTGGGAAGGCTCTTGGGCTCCGAACAGTTCTGGTAAGTCAAAAATTTATCCCTACCGGTTTTCCTTTTGCCGCACGTAGTATTAATATAAAATTTGAATTGTATATACTTATATGTAATGATGTGTCATGATACGCTCGTACAACTGTCTATAATGGTCAAAGACCCACGTTTTAGACGTATGCACATGAAAAACAGTCCATAACAAGAGATAACCCACATTGTACACCATACGATGCAACACGGTCTTTTAACGGCCAAAGACCGACATTTGACGTGATACAAGTGTGGTAACGTGCCACGACCCACAAAATTTTACTTTGTGATTCATAATAAATAAATGCTACTCATGGTATTGA